GTTGCTTGCATTTTTTTTAATGATTCCTTCATTTAAAGAATCATGAGTGCCTTTTGAAACAGATTTATACAGCTCAATGCAGTGACTGACTATATAGTATGATGACATCTTCCATTACAGACCTGAGATCAAGTCTGCATGTATGGAAACTCAGAAAAGCAAATAAAAAGGAAGTTATTCTATTTTCTAAGCAGAGGAACTAAGAGGAACTTCTACTACTAAGAACTTCTCTGGTGGTTTGGAAAAGTTTAGAAGCTCTCTTGAGTAGAAGTTGTGAAACATGTTTAGTAAAATATTCAGAACACACACATTTCAAGGTTATGAAGATTGTTACTACTGAGAAGATCAATTCTGGGCAGGTATTCAAGAATTCTGTCACAAGAACTGTTAGTAACAAAATTAATAATTAACAAGGTGAATGGCTACCATATCTATTTGAAATATTACTATACCATTGAAAGAAATAGATAAGAACTTTCCTCTGAGAGGACCGTGTGATTTAGCTGAGAGTGAGACCTCATGATCCAAGTACCTTACCTCAGAGTAACACTTAGAGCTACCCCTACTAATTTTGTATCTTTTTATTCTCTTGGAACTCTAATGATTCTACCACAAATACATTTAAAAAGTAGAATTTATTTTGAGTAAAAGGAAATTATTTTTCCATTTTCTGGGGAGGAGAACAGAGTCATGAAAATGCTTATGCACATTTTTTTTCTGTTTCAGATGAACAGTGGTAAAAATAAGTTAATTATTTTCCCTTACTGAACTTTTTTTTTGTGTTTTTCCTCTTCCTAAAATATTTTAGATTGTTAGCATTCCAGATGTCAATATTATCTGTATAGGAATTTCAATCTGTTATCCAGTTTAGTTTTTCTTACCATTCACCTACACTTTTGGTATTATAAGGAAACTGTGACTTGCAGTAATATAGAGACAGTAGTTCTGTTACATAGTTTTCATATTCAAGGAAACATTTTGTTAATCTCTAGAAAAGGCTCCTGACATAATATTACGCCTCCCCTCCTTCATAAGCTGTGATGCCTCTGAACATATCTGATACTTTCAACTAGAAGAGAGGTATAATACGGTATTATTTTAGTGTCTAGATTCCCCAAGACATGTGGGTTTTGGAAATGGCAATGATAGTGGTTTGAGACTGAATGCTTTGGTCTGCTTTAAATGTGTGTGATTTCCATTTAGACATACAGCTAAAACAAAAGAGCACTGAAATCTTAATCAGTGACTTTTCCCCTGTGACAACAGCTGCATTACTTCAACTCCTCTCCTTCTGTAGGAATCTCCCTAGGATGCCAGGATACCCTGCCGGTTGTACAAAAACCACAGGCACATTGTCTGCTGCATTAAGAAACAAATAATATGTCATTGACTGCAGTTTTAGTCTTTTGATTGACATCTGAAACTGCAGTTATTGTCAAACAAGTAAGTAACTGAAACCAGTAGCAATTTATTCTCCAAGTGCATGAGAGAGAGCCTATGAATCTACTACTGTGTTTATAAAGAAAGGCTTATTTGTCTAAATATAAATATCAATGGAATTTTTGTGTGTGTGTATTTACATCTTACTGTGACAGCTACCTTATTTTTATGCATGTGGGAACGAAGTGATATTTAATTACTTTACAGTTCTCTTTAAGTGATCAAGGCATAGTAGAGCCAGGGATAAGGATCTTTTTTTTCCTTTTTTTTTTTTTTTTCTCTGAGCTGTATTTTCCTCACCAAATAGAAATATAAACCTGGGCTCAGCCATATTATTCTAGCCTGAATGCAACTTTGTGTTTATGGCTCTGTATCATACTGGATTTGGCAAAACAGCTTCTCAGAATTTCTTCTCTTCAGAATTGTTCAATAGTAAGCATAGTTTAATGTTCTACTTGAGACATTGAAACCTGGATAGACTTTTGAGTCTCTCTTGCACATACAAAACCAAATATGTATGAGAGGAAAGAGCTAGTAGATGAGGGAGAAAGGTGTGACTAGCAGTAACAGATAATATATATTATATTACATAATCTATTGAAAACATGCTGAGTTTGTATTGAGGGTATAAATTAGCTAGCTGTAGTCTTCGTGATGAGGGTGGCTATGGGGCATGAAAGCATAGGGGAACAGGTCCAGGTATTGCCTCACGGACCCTTTAAGTCTTCTAGTAAATCTCTTTTCCGCAGGATGTAATTAAGGTGCTTTTGGTATGATGTTGGGGTGATATTCCTGCAGAAACTTGGCTGAATCTGAAGGGCATTCCTACGTTGGGCTTAGGATTTTCAGTTTCTGGAAACTTTGAAACTTTCTTTCAAAGAGGAGATGTGGTCAGCTCTGTAAGCCAGCCAACTGGCGAATGCAGTAGTTGCTTCCCACAGTGACCTGGGCTTTGTGATGCTTCCTGTTGCATTGGATGTGAGGCTCCCTTAGGGAAATACTTAGAGCCTGGACTGCTACTCAAATACTTGGCCAGTATTTCTGTGTTGCTATTTGTTATGATGCACATGGCATCTTTCTCATCTTTCCAATCCAGCATGAGATGAAGATCTGTAAATCATTGTTCTGAAGGAGATTAGGTGATGCTAGATCTGTACAGTTATACCTTGATCTACATGAGTACAGATATTGAAATGAACTGGCACGTCACTTATGGTATAATCTCCCAAGAAATGTTTATTAATTGTAATCTATAAGTAAGATTCACTTATGCTTAGTAAGTTAGAGGCATATTGTAAAGTGGATTTAAGAAATCAATTTTTGTTCTTTGTGATGAGGGGAAGAAACCTGGCTGTCACATGGAGCCTGGTGCTGTATTTTTAAGCATTTTCTTTCTTTAAGCTTCTTTGTGAAACAAGATGAAGCAAAATTAAAAATAATAATAATAATAAAAAAATTCTCACTTTAGATCTCAGAGTACTTCCAGACTCTTTATCTGTGGGGATAGTCTTCATGCTACTTGTGTAAATCAGAAGTTCTTTAGCTGAAAGTGACACATCACTGGTAAAAACTATTAATACTCTCTGCTTTCTTGCCTTCAGTGATTCTCTATATTCAGTGGTTAAGTCTAGTCGTACTTGAATGTATGGTAATCACACTCTTTTATTACACTTTTATTTAAAGAGCCGTGACATTCATAGAACTCCTATTCATGTCATCTTGTTGGAATCAAACCCTTCATGCAATAACACTACAGTGTTGTTGAGAAATGTTTTCCCTTCTAATGGCAGAGTGTGAGGGAGAGTTAGAAATGCATATGGAAGAAGGAAAAAAAATGTATGTGGAGACAAATGTAGGATGAAACTAAAAACATATGGTGTTAGAGAGTGAGAAGTACAACAGTGGATTGCTAACAAGAAAGGACTGATCTAGACATGCAGGTAATTGAAGACAGACAAAAGGATGGTTTTAAACACAGTTTTATTAGGTTAATAGACCAGGCAAATTTCCGATAGGTCCAACATAGTGTTACAGGATTCTTACCACATAACTCATAAATCAGGATAGGCCTTCTTTAGCTTACCCACAGGATTTTGCCTGTAACTTGAGCCAAAAACCGGAACATAAAGATTATGGCCTAAAATAGTACAAAACCTAATTTTGTTGCTTGACTGAAGTTGTACTCAAGTTGTACTTCAAACTGCAGCCACAGTGGAAAGTACAGGTAGTGGAAAAACATAGTAACAGATGAGAAAATTTCAGGTAATGGTATTTTTATTTCACCTCTACATGTATGTTGTTGGAACAAAATCTGGTAGCAGGTTAAAAAAAAAAAAAAAGTGAAAAATAAACTCAGCTATGCTTAAGTGGTGTTAGGCTGATGATTTCAGTAAAAAAGACAATGGTTGATTAAACATGTAACTCATGGATTTCAGAAATATAATAATTAAGAGATAAACCCGACTTTCTGCTCCTTTCTGCTATGCTGACATTAAAAGGGATGTGCATCAGAAACCAACAATTGAGTAGGTGGAAGGGTTAAAGCAACTTGGAGATATTAATGGAGATGTTGCAGGCTGAGGTGTTCTGAAACTGAATGTCTTGCTAGGAAAGAAGTGTGTTTGCTTACAGTTCCTATGGATTTATGTGGAGTTTTAAAAATATTGTATGCTGACTCTTCAGAACCCCAACTTGTGATGATGGAGTTTATTAAAATATGAATGATAGTTCAGCAAGTTGGATCACTGGAGGTCATTCCACTTTGGTATGATAAAGGTTAGGAAAGACTGAAACCAAGGCTTTCCAAATACTTAAATCTCATTACTTCTGTAGTCTCAAAACCCATGAGGAAAATCTCCTATTTCCTTTACTTCTGATAAGGTGCATGTGTGTATATATATATAAATTATCCTGGATGCCCTTTAAGTTGAAATTAAAATAGTTAAATTCAGGTTAGTGAAATAAGCCATCATTATCATTTACACAGTTCATAGAATATCCGTAGAATGGCTTGTGTTGGAAGGGGACCTCAAGGATCAATTTCCAATCCCACTGCCCTGAGTAGAGTTGACAGCTGCTAGATCAAGCACTAGATCAAGTTGCCCGTGGCCCCATCTATCCTTGCCTTGAACATGTTCAGGGATGGGGCATCCACAACCCCCTCTGGGCAACCTTTTTCAGCATCTCACTATCCTCTCAGTGGAATACTTGTCCCCAACATGTGATCTAAATATTCCCTCCTGTTTATTATCTCCCTTTAAATATTGAAAGGTCACAATGAGGTCTCCCCACAGCCTTCTCCAATCTGAACACACCCAGCTCCTTCAACCTGTCTTCAAAGGAGAAGGGCTGCAGCTCTCTGATCATCTTCATAGCCCTCCTTTAGACCCTCTCCAAAAGCTCCACATTTTTGCTGTGTTATGGGCCTGTAGGGGAACTGTTAGGTCATCACTTGAACTAGTGATTGAGTACCTGGTGAAGAGGTATGGCTGGTCCAGGGAGCAGAGGCAAATTGTTTGCACCTGTGCTCCCTATGGTCCCAAGCTAGAACCACCCTTGGCTAATATGAGTGCCAGCCACTGAAGGGAGCACATCTCTTGAACCTGGGCTGCTCCTTGAGAAGGAGTGCTGCGTAGCTAGAGAGCCCCTTCACCAGTTGGGTAAGTTCCATTCTTCTTTCTATATATGACTATTGGCCTACCTGCAAATAATTTATTTGGTATCACCAAGAACCTCTTAGAAGCAAGCATTTACATTGTTGTTACATTAAATGTTATTTGTCATGCTTAAGATGCAATTCCTAGTGAGGTTACTGTTCAAGAAAATGTGAGGAACTTCAACCTGCGTGACTGGGAAATGGTTTGGTCTTTCCAAATAACTATAGCAGTCATTTTTGTTTTTTTTTCAGGACAAATGGAACTGGATAGGAGCTGAACTGAAAGAAAAGAGTACATCAGAGGAAATGCAAGTAAAATAAATTTTGTCTCCCTGTTTGAAATGTTAAATGCAAAGGTCAAAGTCTAGGTAACGCCTACTGTGTCTGTGGTAGTCACTAGTATAAAGACTGTTTTACAGGGAAATTAAGTGTTATCAAGATTATTTTGTCTTTTTCTTTAAAAAGTATTTCTGAATTCCTCTTTGATTCATGTATGTGTGTGTGTGTATGATTTTATATATATGGTTTTCCTTTTTCTGGGGTGAAGAAGTAATGTTTAGCAAATAAGGGTTTCTTTCCAGTTTCCCTCCAAAACAGAAAGGAACTGCTGCAGGTGAGCTAATGGGTTCATTTTCAGTATCTACTGTGTTAGTGGCAAGAGGGTTTATATGTTTAGTTTTCTAATCCTTACGGGCTATAAAATCCTAATTCATTGCTCATAATCTCAGAATAGTAAAGTATGTGGGATCCTGAAAACTCAGAAAATTGTTTCTGGTATGAATGGCGGAAAGAATATTGATTAGGTGTTGGAAGATGAGAAGTAAGTTACTCTGTGTGACTTCAAGTTAAGCTTTAGTTGTTGGAAATTCCTCTTTCAATTATAAACATATGAAAGATTAATTTTTACAGAGAGCTTCAGAGTTCACTGTTAATTTTGTTTGTATGCAGCAAACTTTCCCAGAAACTTTGAAGCTAATGTTACATGTGGTAGTTCTATGAAGAACTATTGCCATTCAGTTCAATTGTTTGCAGTATTGCTTTGAAGTGATTGGTCCATGTTCATCCTGACTAAAAAACTGATGAGGGCTATTAAGTGATGAATATGGCAGCTAGTTATTCTATAGGCCTTCTAAGGAATTGTGACAGATGGAAAAGTATGCTGCTAACATGGTTTAACAAGTGTCTGAATCAGAGTGTGGAAAATAAGACTTTACAGTTGTGAATGTGTATGGTATTGATGCCTACAGTTCTGCTGGATGTAGATTTGAGAAGACTTCACTTAATTCCCAGTTCCTTATTCTACTAAGTTTTCTAAATATTCTCAAAACCATTGTCTAATATTTAATCTCTTTCACACAGCTTGGAATTTGCTTGAAGCAGTGAACATTTGAGTTACAACTCCCTTATATGTGTTGCTCTGTCTTTTCCCTTTGATCTGAAATTAGGTAAATCTGATAAAAACAGAGTAAATCTGTTGTTTTTGAAGTAATGTAAAAGCTGTCTGTTTCTAGAATACTAATAATTAGAAAAGATTCTTTTGGTAGGGGGGGCTGAGGATACAGGCATGAAACCTTCTTCATTTTTTTTTTTTTAGTAAGGTCCAGAATTTGTGTGTTTTAATTTGAGGTAACTTACATTACTTTTTAATTCCTTTCCCTTCTGCCCTCTCTCCCCCTCCCCCCCCCCCCCCCCCCCCCCCCTTTTATTTTTTTCTTGCAAAACCTTTTAGATTACTTGGTTTTATTCCAATGTACTTTTACTACTTACGAATAAATGTATTGTTAAGAAGCTAATGTAGAAGGAGAAAAAAGATGAGTATGCATCAGTTGTAGTAAATCAATGGTCTAGTATGCTCTCTGATTTAGAAAGTATTCGAATTTGTGAAAGGACCTATCTAAGTTTGCTGTCATCCATAGCTGATCCTAGGTATGAGAAAGCAGAGCAGCCATTAAGTAGATTGTACTGCTGCACTGAGTATAGTTAAAGTACTTGTCAATTAGTCTTTGACTGTTTGGCTGTATTCCATCCCAATATGCTATTCAATTGTTTGTGAATAGACCCAGTGTTTTTACCTGCAGAGATTTCTTTCCTTGGCTCTTGCAAGTATTCATGATTTCTTTTTTTTTTTTTTTTTTTTTTCCATGAAATGTAGCTTCCTGCCATCTGCTTCAAATCAGATTTCTTCTTAACATTTTCATCTATGCCCTCCTGTCCTGTTGCGTGTATTAAACTGGAAATAATTCTTCAATAGTCATCCATATCGTGTAGGATTTTGTGTACTTTTTATAAACCCCATCTGGATTTGATACTGCTGTAGAGAGGCAGGATGCTTTGTTTCTTGACAAAGTTGACCAAAAGCAGTCAGGAAGGCATCCATAGGCCCTTCTTCCTTTCAAACTTGCTGTAGTGCTGTGCCTGTGTCTACAATTTTTGCTTTGTAGGCTCTTTAAAAGTCAAAAATCCACAACCACAAAAGGCTTGAATAGTCTAGCTAGCTCAGGAAGAGATTTCAATAACGTTGATGCAGACTCTCATTTATATATTCTGCAGAGCTGAGCAGGCAGTTTGCCAGAGAAACAAATTAACATTATTTAACATTTCTGAAACTTTTAATTAATCTTGTTTTAGGCTTTCAGGCAAACTGGAGCATATATTCCCATCTCCTGTTTAAGAATGTTCTTGGCCTCTAGATGAGTTTTCCTAAATGTTCCCAACTCTAATAATGTCGTCCAAACGAGCTGTGCAAAACATGGTATGTTTTGTTCTCAAGGCTTCATGTGCAACTATTTTCCCTTCAGTCCAAATGAGTCTACACCCCATGATTTTTGAGTTTCAAGTTCAATTTAAAGAAAAAAGAAAGTTGCTGTTTCACAGGGTTTTACGTCATTTCCATAAACTGGCCCTCTAAAGATGTGTGAATCTTAGCTCACCTTTTTTAAAAGGTTTTGTATTTGTAAAGAAATTCAAAAGAGGTACATTGTATAGTTTATGACTTCATTGTAGGCATTTTTTTACAACTGTAATCTTTCCTTCTGAATGTTACATTATAGCTGTTGCTCCCGCTATATAGTTAAGGTAACAAAACGGTTTCTCTTGTAAAGCCCTATTTGCAGTTGGCTTGTGAAATGTTCAGCTTAGCAAATGGATTGTTCTGTATTATGGATTGTGGCCAAATATACTTTTTTTTTTTTTTTTTGGAAGGCTTGAGCAAAATCAGTTCAATCACTTGTATGAGAATGAGGAAAAAGCAAGTCCAACGTCTAGAGCAACTAAGCTAGCTTTACAGGGAAATATTTCACACTCTAAGAAGTATATTGGTATGTTTCTGATTCAGTTATAAGCCAAATGTAGGCAAACATGCAAATGCACCTGTGGAGAGAGTGAATCAAGAAGCTCCAACTTTTTCTGGGATTTTATTAATCTTTAATCAATGTATAACACTGAAGGAGGTGCTCCTCATCTTACACCCTTCGGCAAAGTCATGCACTGCTTAAGGAAGGTGCAGGAAACAATTAATATACAATTGTTTTGGTAAGAATGTGAAAGACAGGGAAAGCCAAATAAAAACATTTGAAGCCCTTCACAGTCTTGCCCCATTCTCAGCATGGATTTGTGGGGTGTAGCAGAACCAGTTCATAAGCTTTTATTTTTTTTTCCTGCAGAATATGTCATTGTTTTTATAATAGGTAGCTACAACCAAATTAACTGAAATTTGATTTCAACATAGTGAATTGCTTGATAGAAGCCTGCTTGTGGGAGAATATAGGCAGCTTTTGAATGTGTGTTGGACACTGAATGGGTTTGATTTCACCAGTTTCATTATGCTGTTGTGTGCTTTTTCATTGCACTTCTGTGAAATCTGTTTTCCTGCATCTGTCTTCATGTGGACACACTTCTGCTCTTGTTCCTTTCATTGTTTAGTCTTTTATAATTCTCTGCAACTGCCTAATTATGGTAGATAATTATGGATTCAATGTTATTTATGAAGAGTACACACATTCTGTGGGAACTCTAAGTGAGGGAAACTTCATATACCTGGAATTTGATGTGCCTTGTTGAGCATCTCAATTTTGTGAAGTTTTTTTTCTTTCATATATGCTTCTGACATGACACACCCATATCTGCACCACGTTGAGATGATGCATTCCTCAATGTAGATATGCACCTAAAGGAGGTCTATGCATAAAGATGACTTCACACAATTGTGGCAGAAACAATGAGTTGCTTTCTCTGGAAAGTGTTGCTTACTGTTACAGTTTTTTTTCACTTTGTATCGAGAAACAGCGTTGTTGAAGGAGCTTCTTTAGTGCGTTCCATTTGTGTTTTTGTGGTTCCTCAGATGATGTATTTTGAGAACTAGGAACATATAAGTTAATTTGCTGAAAAGACATTGTTAAAAACAAAACAACAACAACAAAAAATCAAACATGGGAAATATTCTAGTACTTTTCTGCCAAGGAATATCCAGTGAGATATCATACTGAAACTCTTGATTGTGATTTGGCTCACAGATAAGACTGTAATATCTTATAGCAAAATACAGTGTTGGGAAATAAACTATTTCCAGAAGAAGGATTGCATTTTTTTATTGTTTTAATACATGTTTTTTAGAAGTGGCTATTTATTGTTTAAAAAATTAGAAGGCCGTTAAGGTTTTCTTGGCTGATTCATGTGAAAATTTATCTATTAAGGAGCTAGTGATGAAACGTAGGACTTTTTACTGGCTAAGCTGATGCCAGTCTGATCAATGTTCTAGAGCATAGGCATGTTTGAAATGAAGCTTCGGGATGGCCAACTTGTGTACAAACACTGCTGACTTTCATAAAGAATAATAAATTTATGCTATTTGTTCAGATGGACTTTTCAGTCCATTTATAAATGAAACATCTGAGAGCATATAGATCTTTTTCATTAAACTTTCAAATTATTCGTGATGAACTGAAACTTCTTCCAGAAATTTTGTGAGTACTCCTAGTATTAAGGGACCTCAAGACAGCAACCTCCTGTTCTTTTGCTTTAAAATCCCGAACCAAGAATGTTTACAGCATTCAAGTGACTAACATAGTGGGCTTGTGGTACTAATTCAGTTTCACTGGAACAGTTATTGTTTATGTTGTGGTGATGGTAGAATATATTATATATGTCTCCATTCAGTGGATGAGATAAATGGCTCCAGCTTGGCCCTCAAATATAAACCATCCTGATTTTAGAGGAGCCCTGTAGAACAGGAATGCACACCTCATTTTAGGTCAAAGAATTTCTAAGTAATGTGTCCAATACACCTGCAGAAAATTAAAGCTGTTACACCCCTT